CAGTTCTACTTTAAATTATTGTCTTGGCTTCTGAAGAAAGGATGTCTGTGTGTAAAACAATATTTAAGCACTAGATTGGGCCCCTTCCCTCTCATTATATTCTGTTTAATTCGATATCCCGATATTATCACTAAGCCCCTTATATTGCACATCCACACCTTTATAATGCTGTCCTTCCTTGTTACTGCTATCACTTTTTGACTCTAAGAAATTTATTTTGGCATATTGCTGAGTATCTCAAACCAGTAAAACAACTAGATTACAGTAAAGTTGATTGTCTTAAAAGTACATCAAAAACAAGGAAAGTATATATCACCTTTCAAGACTATTTGTTTGTTCTGTAAGTCAAGGGTTTCCTTGAGAAGTCTTAATTCAGAGAAGAACCATAGATATTACAGAGTTGGAAAGGTCACCGAGTCCAACCCCCTGCCAAGGCAAGAAATCCACAGCTTAAGAACCTCTGAAAAATGCTCATCCAAATGCTCTTTAAACACAACCAGTGAAGGAATAGTTGTTGTGGGTTTTTCGGGCTTGTTGGCTGTGTTCTGAAAGTGGTTCTTCCTAATGTGAAGGAATAGTCTACCACTTTCTGAGGTAATTCACTCCATTGTAGAACATCTTATACTGTAAGGAAAATGTTCCTAATATTTTGTTGAAATCTTCATTTGTGTTGTTTGAATCATTTACTTTGGATCTTAGCTCTCTCAAACTGCAAAAAACAAGCTTTCTCTCTCCTCCATGTGACAGCTATTCAAATATTTGCTTGATAGCTATCATATCACCTCTTATTCCCTTTTTCCCAGACTAGGTAAAGGTAAAGGTTCCCCTTGACATTTTTAGTCCAGTCGTGTCCGACTCTAGGGGGTGGTGCTCATCCCATTTTTCAAGCCATAGAGCCAGCGCTTGTCCGAAGACAGTTTCTGTTGTTACGTGGCCAGTGTGACTAGGGAACGCCGTTTTACCTTCCCACCGTGGGGGTACCTATTTATCTACTCGCATTTTACATGCTTTCGAACTGCTAGGTTGGCGAGGAGCTGGGACAAAGCGACAGGAGCTCACTCTGTCGCGTGGATTCAATCTTATGACTGCAGGTCTTCTGACCCTGTAGCACAGGCTTCTGCAGTGCCACCACACCCTTTTTCCAGACTAAGTATTCCCAACTCCCTCAAAACAGTTATGGGTTTGGTTTCCAGACCATTTACCATTTTGGTCACCTTCCTCTTGACGCCTTCCAACTATAGGCTTTTATAAGCTTTTCCTCCAGGTAACACTTAACCTTTTTTCTTTAACTATTTAGTCACATTCCAACTATAGGCTTTTCCTCCAGATAACACTTAACCTTTTTTCTTCAACTATTTCTGCCATATTGCCATCTTGAAGAACCGCTTATTGTTTATGTCTGTTGTTCATCGTTTATTGTATATTGCTCATATTTTTATTTCATCTCTCTCTCTCTCTCTCTCTGTGTGTGTGTGTGTGTGTGTTTGAGGCCAACTGCATATGAACTTGCCATCTGCCATGCCCATCCAACCATGGATTGATGTCCTCAGTTTCTGATGCTGCAGCTGACCACTTTATTTTGTATTTATAGTATTATTTTGTAATTATAATATTTCAATTATTGTTACTTTTTGTCTGACTTTTTGACTATTAATACCCAGAATAGTGCTTCTCACTAATCACAACTGGCTACATGGATTGTTATGCATTACTACTCTCTGACTGTGTCTTTAGTATTACTTGTGTTTACTATCTCTCAGAGAAGTATGTTTGTTCCTTTTTAGTATTTGCATACTTCTTGTTTTAGCTTTAATGTTATCTTTTAATGATGCAAGCTGCCTATTTATAGTCATTGTTCTTAGCTTTAAATATGCCAGTCCGTGGGCTTCCTGGAACTGGGCCACAGAAACGGATCTCCGCCCCACCCCACTCCGCACAGTAGGCATGTCGCGCTTGCAGAGGGGAGTGTTGCATTCATGCACATGTGCATGAGCATGACATGCCCCACCGTGCACGGAGCCCACCCAGCCCCAACTGGCCCATGGTCCAAAAAGGTTGGGGACTGTTGATGTAAACCACCACTGTAAACTCAGGGTTTTCAGCTTTGAATACTGTATTGTCTTTCAAGGATGTAAGCTGCCTTGGGTTATTTTAAGGAGAGGTTTTAAATAAATAAATAAACAAATAAACAAATAAACAAATAAATAAATAAATCTAAAAGCCCAATAAATAACTAAACTGACAAAGATTTCTTTAATTCAGAAATTAAAGCTCTACACTCACAATAATTCAGAAATTAAAGCTCTACACTCACAATTTTCAGTACAACTTAAAAGTTCTTAATACAATTGAAACAGAAAATGCAAGTCAGTTTTGCCTCCTATTCCCCAAGTAACTTGCAACAATGGAAGTACACATCACCAATGGTAAATATTCCTATTTCCTAAGGCTAAGAAAAATATCACAAAAGTTTTGGGTACATTTTGTTTGGTTACTCCCAAAAGGTGTTGCACAAATGTTGATTCTTCCAGACCAGCACTACATTTTTTTTCCTAATTGTACTGATTGTCAAAAGACAAGAAAAGCAGAAGTAACCTGAAGATAACCAAAGGAAGAAGCATCATGTTTTGTTCATCTTGCCAACTAAACAGATCTGATTTCCAGATCATGCAATTAGCTATCTTTGACAAAAAAGATTAAGGGAACAAACCTCTTCCTGTGAAAGTATTTTATGATGATGTGTATATCTACAAAGAAGCTCTGTGATGAATTTAAAAAACCCATATACCTGGTGGCAGAGATCTGATAAATCACTTATATGGAAAGACTGCATGTATAAAAATCACATCCTTTCATTCCAAATTATTCTGAAAGAACTATCATCATCTAACATAATCACTACTCACATCCACTACTTTATCCTCTTATACCCACTGTAATTGCACCTGGGGGAAAATGCAATGAATACTTTTCCCCTGGACAAATATTGAGAATAATGTGATAAAAGGAATTATCTACTATGCTTCAAGTATTGGAACCAACTCACATTTTGCTCTGTGGTGCTGCAATATTCCATACAGGTGGATCCTGTACCACTAAAGGAACCAGGATTCACACACTACTGGTGCAGCACAACCACTGGGATCGTTAACCACAAGGGTCATTTAAAAAGTAGCAAACTGAGACTGTTAACAAAACTTAAAAGATGGTATTCCATATGCTTCAGAAGAACTAAAGGTTTTGAGTTGAAGATACAGAATGGATGGTCCATCAAATATTGTGGGACTGCAATTCCCATCAGCCCTAGCCAACACACCAGTCCACATGCCCCCGTCCAATTGACTGGCTACAGAACCAGAGGATGACAGTTATTTCAAACTTAACACGTGACTATCTCTGTGTAAATAAAGCAAGGAAGTTTGGTGACACTGACTGAACACTGGAACTGGATGTTTAGGAGAAGAATATTGCATCACTCACAGAAATTCTCCTCCAGAAAGTAAGAGAAGTTGATTTCTCTACCACAAATGATCAGACTAGACCTCCAAAAGCTCCCAACATGTCACCATTGTGGCTAGAAGAGTGAAGGAGGTATAAACCCAGAAGCCCCAGGTTCAAATCTCACCTGTGACATCAACCAATTGAGTAACCTTAGGCAAGCTATTTATTCTCTCAGCCATCCTCTCTGTTCTCACCTCAAATATGGGGAAAATGAATGGTAATACAGTAGTGGTCTGCCATACAAATATCTTTTAGGGGCTTGTACTAGAGAGACCATGGTCCCATGAATCCCTAACTGCCTATGCTGTCTAGGACTGAGGGGAGTCGAGGTCCAACAAACACCTGGTGAGTCCCCAGGCTCCTCACTGCTGCAATATTTATGTACAGTATCCTGTTTTAGACCTCCTTTCTCCTAGTGAGGGGAGCCAAGGCAGTTCACAATGTTGAAACAAGTGACGCTAGAAACACAGTAAATTACAGGTTTTTAAAAAAATTAAACATGCAATACACGAATATCAGTCAACATTACACGGTAAGCACCACTCAGTGATGCCAAAACGATATGTTTAATTTCGCCCTTCCCCAACTCTTCCTCTCCTCTCCTTCCTCGCGTGTTAATTCAAAGAAGCCCCAATTCCTATTTTTATTGTATTCAAGGCAGATGATAACTTAATTCGTTGCCGTTGGGGGAGGAGGCGTGGAGACAGACTTTCAGCCTTCGGGTTCCTTCAAAAAAAAAAAATTGCAGCTAAAACTGTGCTCACGACCTGGGGTTCAAATCCCAGGTAGCCGGCTCAAGGTTGACTCAGCCTTCCATCCTTCCGAGGTCGGTAAAATGAGTACCCAGCTTGCTGGGGGGGGGCAATGTGTAGCCTGTATAATTAAAATTGTAAATCGCCCGGAGAGGGCTTGTAGCGCTATGGGGCGGTATATAAGTCCCAAAAAAAAAAAAAAAAAAAAAGCAGGCAAGAGACCCACAAGGAAGGGTGGCAGCTTCCTTCCGCTCTCTACCCAGGCAGAGAAAAGCCACACCGACCTACAACGAAAAGCTTTCACGACCCACTCGCTTCCCCCCCTCCTTTCAACCGCCCGACCGCCCGCCTCTCTTCCCGCGCACGAGAGTGTGAGGGAGGCAGAGGGAGGCAGAGTAGGCGAGGTCGTCCCTTCCCCGGACCCACAAGGAAGGGTGGCAGCTTCCTTCCGCTCTCTACCCAGGCAGAGAAAAGCCACACCGACCTACAACGAAAAGCTTTCACGACCCACTCGCTTCCCCCCCTCCTTTCAACCGCCCGACCGCCCGCCTCTCTTCCCGCGCACGAGAGTGTGAGGGAGGCAGAGGGAGGCAGAGTAGGCGAGGTCGTCCCTTCCCCGCCAACCCCCCCTTCGCCTCACGCCGGATGGTACGGTCCCAACACGCGCCTCATTCAACCGAGCGCGCCGGGCCAAATCACGCCACGCTAGAAAGGGGGGGAACTGGGTGCTCGTGGTCACCATATTACCTGATCAGCAAGGTCTTCGGCTGTCCCCATCAGATTGCCGCTGGGCGTCATGGTCGGCTGAGGGAGGCCAGCCAGCCACCCACGCGCCCTCCCTGTCTGTCTTTCTGTCTCCCTCCCCCTTCCCTGAGGGGCTGAACCAGGTTGTGGGCAGAGCCAGAGCACGGCCCGCCCCGCCCCCTGAGGTCACGTGGCTGTGCGGCCCTTCTCGCGTCAGCCGAGATTAGTAAAGTGATGGTACTGAGGAACCATAAAAACGAAGAGGTAGACACGAGGGTGGAGGAGTAACTCCTGACAGGGGCCTGCCATAATCCTCATTCCATGTCCTCATTCCCGGTTTCCCCCATTCTAAACGTCCACCGTCGATAAACTAAACACTGGGGCAATATAGCTCTCCGTTACAACGCAGTCGGGGACAACAATGCCTTTACTTTTGTAACGGAAGATGAGCCGCGTCGTCTTTTGCCTTACTATGTTTATGGTTCAGCTTAGAGGCCACCACGGCCCCTTTCCGTGGCCTCCGGGGTGGTGTTGCCGTGGTAACACCGCAACTTACGTGACTCAGCAGGTCGTCATCGTCTCAAAGAGAAGGGCAGCTTCACTGATACAAGCTGACGTGCCACGTATACAATTCCTCCTTTTATTCTGGAGTAAATCATAAATCGTAGCCGAATTGGCCCTTACGTAATATATATGCAGGGGAAAGAGATACTTTTATTAGACCAGTAAATAATTTGACCTGCTTTTTTTACTTTTCAAAAATGTTCTAATAAAAGTATTGCTTTCTGCATATTAATCAGAATAGACTCCGGAAACAACTCATAAATAATAAGCATCACCATCACACAGTTCGATTTGCACACATTCTGTCATCCTCTTACTGTTTTAACAAAAGCTCTTGGCACAGAGGTACAGGCCATTGCCACATTGGGCGCAGCCTACAATATTCCGAAACTGCTATTATGGCATAGGTGGTTGTGAAATATCTCTTGTGACAGAATGGCTGCTATAGCGCACAGTCACAAAGGTCAGATAAATCTGCCCAAGTAATTGAATATAAGGGAATGAATCTATCTTAAGCCCCAAATGGTATTTGTCTGTACAAAGCACAACAACATACCCACAGTGATGCTCCCACACAGGTAATCCTACACAGGCAAAACATGCATTAAAATGTGCAAGAAATTCATACACACTCCAACACCACCAAAGAAAGGAAGGAAGGAAGGAAGGAACTTATACTGCTCTCCCGCTATTCCCAGTGACTAATGCCTTTACTTGCTGCCCACTCTCTTCCTCACCTCCAATTGCCCACCTTGCCCACTTGCTCTGCAGGCAACGTCCTTCACATTTGCTTGCATCATCACAACTAAGAAAAGAGGACACTGTGTGCACACTAATTTATGGTATAGGCACAAATTGGGAAATGGTCAGTATAAATAAAATAGAAACACATTTCACCACAGGGGTGGGGGAAAATTGTGCCCAGTGATCTTAGTGCCTGCTAAGTTGGCTCTCCATGTGCTAACTGTTACTGGACAACTTCAGCATGGTTGCTTTGCTACTATGCTTTATCTTTAATGGGCTTGGATCAGATAGCCCTTCAAATATTGGTGTTGCTATGTACTGTCAAGTCAGAACTGACTTATAGTGACCCTTATAGGGCTTTCAAGGTGAGATATTCAAAGAGTGGTTTTACCAGTTTCACACCCCCAGTGACTTTCCAGGACTGAGAAGGGATTTGAACCCAGGCCTCCTGAGTCCTACTCTGTAACTTGATCCACCACACACCACACTGACTCTTTTCTTCATTAGACACCTAGAGATAGAAAGCTGTCATCTGTATAATAGGATTAATGATAACCCAGGCGCTTTGTGTTGTTGTGTGCTGTCAACCCATCATACAAAACAATGTTCGAACCAGAATGGAACTGCTGGATAGTTCAGTGGTTTAGGTATCTGGCTGCTGAGCCAGAGGCTGGGAGTTTGATTCCCCATTGTGCCTCCTTGACAGGAGCTGGACTCTATGATTCACAGGGTCCTGTCCAGCTCTGCAGTTCTATCATCATCATTGTTACTAGCACTGGAGGCCTTGGTGTGCAACTTGACATCTATGGATACCACACTAGAGAATGTCCCATTAGGCCTGACCATCATGTTCCTACATCATGTCTAACCTGGCCTTCACACTCAAATGGCACAGGAAAAGACAAACAAACACAAAGAGTGGAGTTCTTGACAAGGACTCGCAAAGGTGTGCACACACATATTGTCCACAGGATATAAATGTGCATTGTTACAAACTGTGAATATGTTAATAGTATTTGCCTTTAGGCTCCAGAACTACCTCTCTTTTGTTGTTGTTGTTTAGTTATTTAATTGTGTCCGACTCTTCGTGCCCCCATGAACCAGAGCACGCCAGGCCCTCCTGTCTTCCACTGCCTCCCGGAGTTGGCTCAAATTCATGTTGGTAGCTTCGATGACACTGTTCAACCATCTCATCCTTTGTCGTCCCCTTCTCCTCTTGCCCTCACACTTTCCCAACATCAGGGTCTTTTCCAGAGAGTCTTCCCTTCTCATGAGATGGCCAAAGTATTGGATCCTCAGCTTCAGGATCTGTCCTTCCAGTGAGCACTCAGGGTTGATTTACTTCAAAATGGATAGGGTTGTTCTCCTTGCAGTCCAGGGGACTCTCAAGAGTCTCCTCCAGCACCACAATTCAAAAGCATTAATTCTTCAGCGGCCAGCCTTCTTTATGGTCCAGTTCTCACTTCCATACATCACGACAGGAAAAACCATAGCTTTGACTATGCGGACCTTTGTTGGCAAGGTGATGTCTCTGCTTTTTAAGATGCTGTCAAGGTTTGTCACTGCTTTCCTCCCAAGAAGCAGGCGTCTTTTAATTTTGTGACTGCTGTCAACATCTGCAGTGATCACGGAGCCCAAGGAAGTAAAATCTGTCACTTCCTCCATATCTTCCCCTTCTATTTGCCAGGAGGTGATAGGACCAGTGGCCATGATCTTAGTTATTTTTTTATGTTGAGCTTCAGACAATTTTTGCGCTCTCCTTTTTCACCCTCATTAAGAGGTTCTTTAATTCCTCCTCACTTTGTGCTATCAGAGTGGTATCATCTGCATATCGGAGAGAAATTCTCTTCACATAGTAATCCCTTCCATGTAGCAGGCTTCCCTTCAAGTACTTAAAACATGCACTCCAACTTCCTATCACTGTTTTGCTGTTAAACAGTTTGCCTTCATTAATACTTGTTCTTTCTTTTCTCAAACACATCTCTTTTAACTTCAATGTAGAAATAATTGATATTTATTCAGATTCACACTTCTATATCACAAAAATGTGGAAATGCCCTCCTCACAATATCCTTTCTATATATTATTAATGAACCTCTGACATATACAGTACATAATTATTTTGCAAACCTTAACTGTGTAAGCAGTTCCCATCTGTTCTGCCTGTTAATAAGTTCAGTTCAAAAGTAGTACAGAGCAGCAATAACTAATCCTTGCTGTTGCATACAGCACTGGAGTGTGACGAAAGGTTAACAGCTGGTTTGCATTAAGTACAGGAGAGATTTGTGGAATGAAAGATAACCAGACAAACCACTTACTTTCATGTGATTTTGTGACATGCTTTGAAGATGTTTTCTACTAATACAAGACTGTGCCAGAAGACTTAACCTGGCTGTGGTGACCCCTCTCTGCAGGGAGATTGGACCAATGAAAATGGTCCACGCTGAGAGACTTCTCAATCCATACAGGTTTCAGGAAGCTTTTGGAGGGTTGTTGTGGGTTTTTCGGGCTCTTTGGCCGTGTTCTGAAGGTTGTTCTTCCTGACGTTTCACCAGTCTCTGTGGCTGGCCAGGAAGAACAACCTTCAGGACATGGCCAAAGAGCCCGAAAAACCCACAACAACCATTAGATCCCGGCCGTGAAAGCCTTCGCGAATACCTGTAGAGGGTATTTGACTGATCTGGTTGGCAAGGCTGTTGAAGCTCAGGTCAACAGGTGATTCAATGAGGAGGGCCAGGCAGTTGACACGATTGCTCCTGAGTACTGTTACATCCCTTCCCCTGGTTCACAGAGGAGATGCATTCTATGAAGTCAACGAGGAGACAGCTAGAGAGGTGGTGGAGGAAAGCTCCATCAAATAATAATTTAGCTGCATTTAGGAGTTTGACCAGCAGATATGCCAATGCCCTAGGACTGGCAAGAGAGAGAGAGAGAGAGAGAGAAAGAGAGAAGGAGAGGCTTTTAATGTTAAAATAACTGGGGAGGCTACGAACCAACAACTGAAACTTTTCTGGGTGTTTTGCAGCCTCATGAACCCTGATCAACAACAGCTTAATCCTGGCAACTTCACTGGGGATCACTTTGTAACCTTTTTCAAATCTAAAATTGAGACCGTCTGGCAAGATCTGAACTCCACAGTCAGTTTAGCTGATCAGATTGGGATCTCTGGTGTATCCTCTCCATTGACCCATCAGTACTGTATGCTGATGACACATTCTCTTTTATATTTTCTGCAGTGAATGTTGTCCAGGTTCCTGAGAACTGCCTGGTCTTGGTTCTGGAATGGACAACAGCTAAAAGGTTGAAACCCAACCTGGATAAATTGGAGAGCCTTATTCTAGGGTGGGAACATCTAGGTTAGAGGGTCATCTCCCCATGTGGGATGGTAATGGTCCCTTGGGATTGAGTATGTAACCTGGGTGTTTTCCTGGACCCAGCCCTTTCATGGGAATCTCAGGTTGTCGCAGTGACCAGGTTGCCTTTAACCAGTTGAGGCTGATCACCCAACTGTGCCCTTACCTGGACAGGGGTCACCTGAAGATGTTGGTGCGTGCACTGCCAATCTCAAGGATTGGCTACTGCAAGACTCTCTATATGGGGCTTCCCTTGAAGCTGACCCAGAAACTTCAATGGGCGTAGAATGTGGCAGCCAGGCCGGTGACAAATGTGAATAACTTCAGTTACATTTCCCTGGTCTTGGCTCATGTGCACTGGCAACCTGTGTTGTACAAGCACAGATTCAAGGTGTTGGTTCCTACCTACAAAGCCCTCCGCGGTTTGGAACCTTGCCACTTGTTGGAGCATCTTTCCCTAAAAACATGTACTGTATTCATTCCACCTGATTG